GGGGGGGGGGAGTTAAATTTAGAGTAAATCTCAAATCAAAAAACACCCTGTTGACAAATTTTTGGAGCCACAGTACTACTACTAGAGAAAAAAAAAGAAAGTGAATTTGGCAGGATTTGAACCCAGGACATGCATAGTTTACAAACTGGGAACTGATCTATAATAATCGGATTCAATCTCAACTTTACCTATGTAGAATATAGTTAATTCATCTAGCTAGAAATGGATTATTATTTACCAAAGTATTTGATTGACTTCCCAGAGAAAAGGACGACCACCCTTGCATCACCAAGATTATGAAAACTCAGATGATATCAATCTATCTAGACCAAGTCGACCTGCAAAGGTCAAGAGTGAGCCAGTGAAGCGTGAAGGACCAAAGTGGAGCCCTAGTCGCCTTACCACAGAAACAGAATTTGTGATGGGCGCCAAAGCAAATAAGTAAGACAAGTTAGTTACTTATGGCAGTAGCAGGCACAATCAAGTTTTTAACATCCACATCACTAGTCAAAGGTGGAATGATTTCCCCTATCCTTACCACATGGGTTATAAAAGATTGTTCATAGGAAAGTGCATACATTTGTCAAGCTGTATCTCTTCCACATGTGAAATTAAGGTGTTAGTCTCCAGATATTAAACAAAAAAAATAGAAAGAAACCTCCATACTTAATAATTTGTATCTTTTCTTCAAGACAGTGTTCCGGACAGCAGCTGGTCTGGTGACCCACATGCTGGTGCCAGTTAAACCATCCAAATATTCAACATTTTTTTCACAAAACTAAAAGAATGGTTGCTTAAATTGTATTTATTGATTTGTATAATTTCTGGGGTTTTTTTTCTTTATTAGAGCGCTTGGTTTAGGAGCAACAAGGGGTAGACTGTATATGAAACACCCTAATCTCTTCAAGGTTGGTATACACATCTGAAACACGCTTAACTTCCCAGTTATGGTAGCCTCCCGGAAAATGGGATCACTTCCCACACTCCCTCGAGCAAATTGATATCCCCAAGAAAGCAACCAATCTGTAGCAAATTTAAATTTTCTGTCTTTACCACTGTGTTATCAAATTGTCTTCTGGAACTCAGTAGCAATGGGTATTCACCACATGCAGCAAAATACAATTTAAATGTGTTAAGAAAGCTCATTTAACCAGATCTCCTGGAAGTGGCTTTCTCCAACTTGGAACTCCTGCATTAGTTTGTAAACTTACAGTTGGTTCAAATTCTACACTGGCTATTTATGTGTGTGTGTGGGCAAGGCTACATTTGTCTCCATCCACCCAGTGCTATAAATGAGTATGTGGGATGTTCTATATGTTAAGTGTGCAGCATGGTCTATGGTGAAATTCATGCTTAAGTAGGTATCAGTGCCAAGGAGCAGTAAGAGTAGTAAATCCTGTATGAATAAGATGTTTTCAGTGAGGGTATTATTATAAAATGCTTGCAATGTTTCGAGATGGAAAGCACTATTGCTTCAAATTATTATTATTATTATTATTGTTATTATTATTATTATTATTAATATTATATTATTTCAAATTGTTATTTTTTAATCCAAATTGGGATGGAGCTGTTATATCATTTGGATCCTGCAAACACCAGGATGTATAATTCAAACTAAGGCTTATGATATTGTTGTTACTGTAGATAGAGTATCTCATAGATCTATCACTGTATGTTGTATTGCCTTGCATAAATATGGATAATAAAATAATCTTTTTTTTTGACAGTATTCTGGTGATCAAGATGATAAACAGTGGTTGTATGACAATAGGTTGATGCCTGCTACTGGTGGCAAGGCCTACCTGCTGATCAAGGAAGACATTCTAGAGTTATCAGAAACCTCAGATTACAGGTACACATAACATAATTACTAGAGAGAGCAAATGTGCTCCTCAAGAGCTTGGGAAGTTAATGATGTTCTTAGAACTCCTTGCTGTGTCTGCTCACCCACAGATTTGATTCTCCTGCACCATCCTAGTTTAACCTCATGGAGCTGCATAAGGATTGTTGAAGCCTCAGCTCCCCACTCACCTAGACCCATGAAGAGATATACTGTTAGAGCACCCAGGGTTCCAACTGATTATTTTTCCTTGTCTTAATTTTCATAGACTTTTAATAGCTTTAACCACTCACAAAAGCCTCCTAAATAGATGTGGGATTCAAATGATCACCTAAGCCCATTCAACGACATCAGTACCTTTATATTATACTTTATGTTTAACTTGCAATATTTTAAGGGTAAAATAATGAGTGTGGAACTGTAAGTTGGTGGTTAAATTAGTCATATTCATATGGATTTTTTTGCTCCACTACCAAGGCCTCATACAGTAACTACTTGTTATTGGACGAGTTAAGTGGCCGAAAAGTAATGCAGGGCTCCGCTACCTATGGTTCCAGCCACTCCTCGTCCAGGGTTCGGTTTATAGAACTTTTTGGATAAAACCATAAAAACGGGAGGTCAAGTGTATGCATCTGACTTGTGTGCACTTTAAAGAGTTCATTGTATCCTTCGGAAGAGGAGGGGGTTACCCCAATGCTATGGTTATTTTAGCCCCTGTAGTGATGATGTGAACTAAGCAGCTTTCTACAGTTGCTACAGTAGTCATGAACCATGCCCATACGCAATTCAGCACAATAATGTTGGAGTTTAATGCGTTATTCTTCACCTTTACCTTACCCTTTATCTTTACTTTATAAGTTCAGGAGTAACTTTCGAATATATTGCTATTAAAAATTCATAAAAGTAAAATTCTAACATTATTGCACTTGTCTTTCAGAAACAACACTCTTCTACTTCATGAGCTAAAACCATTTGTAGTACCGGAAAGAATACTGCAGAAAATGCGCAAATTCATGGAAATGCATCGGACAGACAGTACACCAGGAGATTGATAAAAACATGGTGTGCTTACAGTACACCTGGTCCATGATGATGCATATGTGTCCAATTATTAACACCTGATAATTGATGACCTGATGCCATTGTCAGTACACCTGGCATGAACCTGGCCTAACATTACACCTGTTTATAAATGATTACTATGTGTCCATATAGTAATCCTGACACTTCTAAAAGAACAGGTGTCCATACATGTACACCTGCCATGAAAGACTAGGTGGCTTTTGTCATTATCAATGACCCATAGTATTTGCAATATATCTGATCATTGATGACCAGGTGGCATTTGGCGGTATGTCTAGTCATCAGTGATCAAGTGTAAAAGTACTTGAAATACACTGATCATTTCTTGCCAGGTGTTCTTATTAGTACACCTGGCATGAATGACAGGTGGCATATGGTAATTCTTTTATTCATCATCAGTGACCTAGTGTACTTGCAATATAACTGAT